CCTATTACGCAGTCAGCATTGTCGGAAGATTTATTCACCGCTATAGACGCTACGGGGACGTACTACGTACACATCGATACTAGCCGGTGCTCGTGTCCATTCTTCATTGAAAACGGAATACCATGCCGTCACATATTGGCTTACTGCACACACAGTAACACCGATGTGAACGTACAGTCAATTTGTGACAGGTGGTTACACTATGATGGTTATCTGACTCATATTGCAGTTGAAAATTATTTCCCAATGCAATTGAGTCAGCCAAGCATGAAGAATGCAGTGATAGCGTTAGTCAGGCGAATGTCGGAGGACCAATGCAGTTCACTTCATGGCTTCATTGTTCACGGTAGACTACAACGAGGAACTGTTGATTTGGATGAAACGCTCATTAACGATGAGGAGGAAGTAATTTCTATTAACTCCGAAGAGTTAACTGAACGGGACATCGAAAATGAAGAAGAGGATGACGAGAATCGACTCTGCGACATATGTAATCTTGCGCAGCCTCCGTGTGAAACCGGTGATGCGGTTGGTTGGGTTTTCTGTAGATGTGAAGCAATGTTTCATACCTTCTGTGCATACGACCCATTGCCGAACGTACGAGCAGTGCACTGTCCTATCTGTGGCGCAATTACAAACTAATAGTGACGACGTCCGACCGCGAGAACGAGTAAAGGCCCTTTTCAGGGCCACCCACAATTTGATTTCCATTATTTTTTATCCACTACTTTTCCGCGGCAAAGGTCAAGTGATTAAGCACTTATTAATGTCTCATGAATTTAGATATCCCTTAGAGATTAATAATGGAAAAGCGATTATCGCTCATGTATTCGTAAACTGGTTTCTAACGTTTATGAGATATAAAGGTTAAGAAAACTTAAACAAGATTTTGTCATCTAATGAAGACTAATCTAGTAATTTTATATTTAAAATATTGTGATTAATGTTCATGTTTTAGTAACACTTTTGTAAACTATCTAATAATAGTACATTTTAATGGGAATATTTCAATATAGTGAAAATTGTAATTTTGTCGTTAGGTCAATAAGTTGATGAGAACATTTATTAGTGAATATAATTACTAAGATGAATGTGATTAAAGCTCATAGAGAAGTAAACACAATGAAGAAAATTAACTTATTTATGATTAAAATACTGACATTATAAAACAAGTTGAAACCATCATTATTGAAATGATTCATGTGATTAAAGGTTATATAGTAAGTGTTAAAAGAAATAAGCATATTATCCGTTTCATGAATACAAAAAACAAGAATTTCATATTCTTGTTTTATATTCAAAGAACCTGAAACCAGAACTATGCGTACGTAAGAAGTACGTCTGATCGTCAACTAAGCCTTCATTGTGACTCATAACTACTGATTATATCAAGGTATTCATTTGCACAGTTATACAACTATTAATGACTGCTACAATGTGATTGTAGCAGTAATAAAAATTCTCATAGAATATTCAAAAATAAAATAAAATGTAGCGAACAATCGTTTTCATTAACTTCATCTACACACTAAACAGTTATAAGCCCATAATTTTAATATTTTATAACGTCCAAAAATAAGGCATGGCATTAATAAATTTGACAATGTAATGTGTTAACAATGGTTAACGTTTACATCTATTACTATATATATCTATATACTTACAAATTGTAACATTTGCAAATTAGAAAAGTCATTCATTAAAGGTCGGGATTATTTGCAGTAAAGTGTTTAGTCACAATAAGTGGAAGAGCATTATAGGAAAATTTAAAATGCAAAAAATTTTGTGTCAATGAAATATTACATAGTATGGGAATTGAATCTTGTCAATTGACATAATAATAATAATAATAATAATAATAATAATAATAATCATAAGGACAAAATATAATAATAACATTTTAAATGTTCATTGATACAGTTGACCTTATTCATATTTATACGTTTAATGTCGATAGATATTTGTTGAGTCAGTCAGACGACGTAGGTTTGTTCATTTACAGATCATGAAACTGATATTTCAAATGCTTGTCAAAATGGTTACATTCATAATGTCTAGATATAGTTCAGGTTTCATATTACGGCGGTTAACAATATTCACACATTACTGATTAAACACACACTGCTTTTGATTACGACCAAAATATTAATTTTAAAATGCAGAACTACAAATAATTTACAAGTGAAAACAATAAACCGTTTCAATGGATTTCCAAATTAACCACATTTAAATCTAACGTTGTCTAATTCTCATTACGAATGACCATTTACAAAATAATCGTTTACTAAATATTAAGTGCCTATTTCGGTTAAATTTATTACTACATTCATATACTGTCAAAGTCAGTTCATTCAATGATGGTCTACGGTTGCTTCACCTGAATTATACATATTGCAATCAGTAATTTATCATGATGATTTATTGATATGTTGATTTATTTCTCCGATTAACAGACCATGTGTTACTAAAAAACCTATGCACACACTTTGGTGATAATTTGTTTATTAATTTAGTATTAAACATTTGACTACCGACCTAATTCAGTAATCACTATTATCAAATATTCAAACGGGTTTTCTGTTGCTCTTTTCCAAAAAAACTTTCTTTTAATGAGATACATATAATTATTTGTGTTAAGATAACTAACGACTTCAATTCATGGTTTGCTTGACCGGAAAACAAAAATTTATCCCAATACACATTCACTAACAGTAGGATTGCACGGTAATGCAATTAAGTTGGTGTCTTCTTCTTCAAAAGTCTAAATTTTTTCAAGACTAAGATTACACAAAAAGAATTATTCATTCTCATTAAATTTCTAATGTAAAAAATGAAAATTCTGACATCCAATCACAGCTCTAGATGCGATTTCAATTTCAACTAATCAGATTACAGAGATTAACAGTTTACGACCAATAACAACATTATTAGAGGTAACAAAATGTTTGTTCATTATCACTTGAGCACACACTTGCAAGACAAGTCCACCAATCAACGATACCTAAATTTCTCATTCACACCCCACAATTTTTAAAAATGGGTAGCAGGGAATCATAATGGCCGGTCGCTTAGTGTCAACCGGGAAATGGTATGATTATACGTGAACACGGAGGGGGTAACAATGAGGAAACATTCAGTTACCAACTTTCTGTGGTTGTAAAGGTCATGGAAAGTTGGTAATATGTCTCTGGGCGGCCGCTTCCTCAGATAACCCTTTCCTCTTAGTTGTAGAATGGTTTCCTTTCTAGTAGATCCTGTAATAAAGACTTTTCTCCTTGAAATGGCTCACTTAAACACAGCGGTCATGCGCATGTTGTCCTCCAAGACTTCCTCACGATATTCTGCGGGTGTACATAATTTTATGATGCTGTGGACCTATGATTATCCGATTGTTAGATAAGAATTCGTTAGAGTCCTCACCACTTTACCAGATCAGTTTCTGATGACAAGCGGGGTTTTCAATTCTCAATCCCCATGTCGCTCTTCTTCTTATTGTTAACTAATGGCTGACCTAACTCTATAGACTTTCAAACTCTCCTTTACCCAGATTATATTATGATTTTGAGGGGAATAGTTAGGTTGTAGTGGCATTGGACCATAACCACACTATCCTCAAAGCTGAATACGAGATTACTCGGAAAATAGGTACTCAATTTTTAACGCAAAAAAATACCTAACGATAGAGAAGGCGCGAATAATGAATTGAATGAATTAGAGTTGATCGAATGGCATGGCTCGGCCATGCAGACGTGGTCCCTGCTGAATGTTATCTTATATCTTCTATTCATATTAAATACATTGTTCTTTCTCTAGCTTAACTTTGTTCTACATCATGTATTGGTAATTGACAAGATACAGTGAGTTGACGTAGCCGATGGCGTGACTTCCACGTAAGATCTTATAGATTAGGCAGTTATATCATGACAAATCTACAAATTTAGGATTAGGTCTATTATTAGAGCAGCACTAATATTATAGTAGACCGTAATTCTACAAGGTCATACTATATCTTCTCTCCGAGAAGACTTACACAGCACAAAACCAGGCTACCGGAAACCTCATTTCCCTCTGTACCAGTGAATGTAAAATACCAACAGTCAAAAACAGTGGTGCTCTATCTATCTATCACGTACTTCATGAGATGTTCCAGCAACACAAATTCCGTGACCGAAAACAACCAAAGCGTCACTCTTTGCAGTAGTATAGCCATATATTCTCACTGGTGATTTGTGGCCGTTTAAATATATTCACTCTATATATTTCTCACTGGAACAGTTAAAACTATTGTAGTAAAGAACACAGGTGAGGATAACCGATTATATTTAGCACAAGATCAGAGAGTTACTTGGGAAAATAGAAAAAACCATACTCTAACACTTAATTTGCAAAATATTCATTAATTGTTTCGGACTTCATTGATCCTGCATTTCCATACCAAATGCTTTCTGTTACCATTCTTTCCTTCTTGACTTTCTGCAGCCAGACACTCTATTTCTGACTGGCGTTACATACTACATATGTCGATATAAGTAGTACAAACCACATTATGACTCTGGAATCACTCGAAAAACAATTTCACCGTTTGTCTGAGACCCCATAAGAAAAAGGCTCCTGTGTTATATCCATTCACCTTAAGAAGGATGCTGGTCTCCGGGAACGTGGTAAAAGAAAAACATCCAAAGATCTATCTGGGCTACGATACAAAATCTATTAAGCTCGTTCTTCGCTAATAGGATGAGTACGTTTTGAAGCTCTCTGCCCTGAAGCTATAGTAAAAGCACATTATTCTGAATCCTGTTAAACAGGATTCGACACATTTTTATTTTTATAGGTACTAGATTGACTATTCATAGTTCCATTTCGATAACCTCTATTATAAACTTATTTGCCTTGTTTTTTTCCTTTTCTACGCAAAGACATAACAAAGGATATACCCCTTTGCAACGACAGACGCATCCCAACTACCTAGTAACAGAACCTCAGGAACAAACATGCCAGTTATTATTCCAAGCAATTTTGGATTTGGAACAAACTTTAAGTATGATCTAAATATATGCGTTACTCGCAAGGTCATGAAAGGTGCAATTGAACAGAAACTTAAACCACTGGACCCACTCCATACTGTATGTAAAGCCTAATTGTATCACTGAAGAGTAGGAAATAGTTGACTTTTCAGATGGATGCGGTCTGAAATTTGATGTAAAAGTCGTCTCAAAAGAATTCGAGGGTAAATCACTTGTTGACAGACACAGGTTTGTAGCAATGACGTTAACTAATGTTATTCAGAATTGTTCATAAACTGTTAGAAGAGGAAATGAAATCAATACATGCCCTCACTTTAAAAACGTTAACTCCTTCACAATGGTCTCATAAACCTTCTTAATACTTTCATCTTATTGAGCAAATATCGGGCTCGATAATTGGAAGTCGTCGTATATTTTTGTAAATAAATATCACTATGGTATCAGGAATTTTTCGGCCAGCCTGAATTACATGCCATGGGAACGAGTTGAATATACTTGCGTCTTCACGTAACGGTGTAGATTCAAAACGATTGCACTAGTGTCACTAATCAATCTTAATTTTAGGAGGTGCATTAATCCTCGTGACTGGAGTCGTAGCTACGGGTATATGTAGAAGGAAATAGGACATATCAGTTAATCAAAAGTAATGTGGACAGATATTGATGTATTCATTCAGTAATTGTGGTTCATTTTCAAATAGTGAGCTCATGTTTAGGGAAAGTAGGGTTCTTGGTTTGCTCATAAATCCCGTTTATCATACTCGCTGACATAGCACTTACTGCTTTATTGTACCCTTTTTGTAAAATATCCTGCGCCACCAACATGACGGAGTTGAGTCAGTTATATTATGTAAAACAAGCCCATGTGATTCCGTGCAATCCACCTGTTTGACTTCATGTTAGCCCATTTTCCTAGCTGTATTCAAAATACTGCTATGTCGTATTTACTTTGTGAATTGAGTTCGGGTTCACCATTTCCGAAGTACGGATACCTTAGAGATCCTTTTAGTACAGAACAGAATCTATACTAACTGAACGACCATTACACAATACTCCGACGAGAATCCCCCGGAGATTAATTAGATGCCTTGTGTAATTAAAAACCCTAGGAGAATTAAGTCAGGTGTTAATTCACTAATTTTTAATTCGAGAATCTTACTGACTGGGCGATTGTCAATTGACAGAAAGTCACAGTGAATTAATCAGCACACAGAATGCATTGAAAATTTAGTTACTAACGGCGACTATAAACTTAACTAACAGAATTCACATTGAATAAGTTAATGCAACGAAAATACGTTGACAATCGACTAAATGAGGATCACCTTAGATCGACGTTCGAGTCCAAGATTGATTTTCTACCCTGCACATTTTGCTTGGAGCTAAATCTCCCTTCGTTCTTCCCAATGATGCAGCCGTAACCGGATGGGTCTGGGCCATTTGTCTGACTGACAGTAGACAGACGATTGAGAAAAAAACTGGAGGCATGAGCGTTAACATCGACCGTAATGTATCTGTGAAGTGGTATATATTCATAGGTTTTACTGCTGATTTGTCTCCTTGAATTTATTCGTCTCCTGATTAGCTTGGTCATCTTGTTGATATGATATCCTTATAACGCACTACATTACAATGTCTTGATTTGATGGAATGCCATGCACAACGACGCCAACGAGTATTTATCTTATCTCTGGGCGACTTGCTGCTAGTATAATGCAAAAACTACCAAATGCTTTGGAACAGGACTCGACTCGTCACAAGGGAGACAAACTTTGAGACCACAATGTCCATTTGACTGAACCAGTGTAGTATCATGTCTAATATTTGTCGACTGTTGGTCTTGGGCAGCGACATCATTAGAAGTTAACTTAGGGTTCTGGTCGATGTACATCGACTAGTCACAGATAGGGTTAAGGAAACTATATTAGTTTCAAGAAGAGTATTGGAGAGATTCTCAGTCAACCTGTGCTGTTTATACACTAATCCCTTACATTAATCTTCACGGCTTCCTACAATCACTTATAGCTATTGTTGTGAAACTAGTTGACGGTTAGGCTTTCAAAGACTGAAATTCAATTAGTTCAACTAATTAATGCCTGTGGAAAGCCTATTTTTACAATAGGTAGTAGGACTACATACGAACAATAGGGTGCGTTATCTGACATGGTTAATTATATGGAATGCGTCCAGTGGCTTTGAAGTATTCGGATATATAATGACCAAGTCAGGACAGTTGTGCTCAATGCTTGTGACTCTTCACGTTGAAAAAGTTAAGCGACTCTCTGCGTTTGACCGTAATATTCGATAGATTGCTGACATCCAGTGGCAACACTACGTTAGTGGCGTAAAGTTTCGGCAACATGTGTCAAGGCACAGCAAAGATAATCCCGTTGGTATTACCATCTTGGAACATCGACTTCGGTCGCTTAGACATGTATCAAGAATATCATCCAGAGATTTCTACATCGTGCATTACTTACCGTCGCCGGGACTGACTGGAAAAAGCGGAGAGATGGTCAGTGTATGACATGATGTCCTGGTGTGAAAGCTGTACAGGACTGGCTTGTGTTGGTCCTCCACGACTTCCTGGTTGGCTCCTAGAGATTGTGCAACAGTGACTAGAGACGTTATCAGACATGGCTCAGAATAAAAGCCAGTAACGATACTACTGCAACTTTCTTCACAAAAAGTGAACGTAACTTTTTTAATTGAAAGAATCATTTCTGGTTATATTTTTTGCTAACTGAAGTGTTTCTCCCATTATTATATATCCCACTCTCATACATTAATTGCCGTTCGTTGTTGTTGCCACTTTATTATACGCACTTTACATTCTCTATCTCTTCAAAACCTCATTGCTATTCTGTAGTGCACATGTATTTGGTGCCCCCTTGTACTAATGTTTATGTATTCAACTAAATAAAATTTTAAAACCCTGATAATTGTAAGCTAGAAAGTTGAGCTGGGTTGATTTCAACTATAGAAGAGGTAAGTAAAGTTATTCGTTCAGTGACTATTTTGCTATCATTGTCATAAAGAGAGTCAACCTTGAGTGAAATTGCCACATATACGTTTTGTATCTACCTCCAACAGTACTTAAGACCACTGTATTCACAATAAACTTCACTTATTCGATTCCTATTATTCTTCCTACCTCGATTATCAACCCTAAACTTCCTCCTCAGGTGTCACCATAGCTTTCGGTTTTATTACGCAAACTTCTTTCCCACGTCTACTAAAATCCCGCTCTAAACTACACATTGAAGATCTCAACGTACGAACCCTATTAAATCGACCAGTAGACCTCCTTGGCTAAGAACCTAGAATCTCGTACCATTGATGTATGCTGTCTCCAAAACATATATACAGGATCCTAGTGTGATCATTCACTTGACCTCACGTAGTCAAAACAGAGATCCGACGAAATACACCTTTTTATCTGGTGACTCGGCGGCAAGTTCTCGTGAACTGGCAGGTGTAGGCACAGCACTAACTGTGAGGGCAGGACAAGCACTTTGGGGATGGATCCCTATTAACGGTCGCCTATGTGCTGTTCTGTTCCTACCGACTACAACCTGGATGAAGTGAAAAATGAATTTTCACAAAAGGCTTCCTAAACTTCTTTAAAAAGCTAAACACTTGGACATGGTACTCGTAGCAGTTGGCTTTAATGCGCAAGTAGGTAACTTAAAACAGTTAGACATTTAGGTAGATATTTTGGTAATAGCGGCTGTCTGCTGTGCTCAGACAATCGTTTATTTTTAGCAAGCACTAATTTTCAGCATGAGAGACATCATCTAAAATGGTGACGATAGACTCAAATAGACCATATTGCCATCAGTCATCGTTGGAGAGGCTCGATAGATGACTGCCGCTCGTTCTAGAATACATGTTTAAACTCTGATCATGTTCTAATACAAGCAAGCATTTACTTGTGCCTCACTGGACGCAGAAAAGTCACATTAAGAAGACCCATTGTAGTTGAACTTAGTGACGAGAAAGTCAAAAGTAGATTCTAGGAACAACTGAGGTCATACTTAGACAGTTCTGAAAAGGAGGCTGACCTAGATGTTGCTTGAAAAGATATACAAACATCTGTGGAAACAGCAGTGACATCTATTACTGATTTGAACCAAAGGGCTACGAAAAATCAGTGAGTTTTTGTGACATCTGTTGCGCTGATAGACCCTCTTAAACTTATCCTATCAGGCTCCGAACACAATGAAGAGCGAAAACAAACTAGATCTAGACTAATCAAGAGTTTGCGAAATGATCGTGAGCAGTGGTGGGCAACGAAAACAAAAAAATATGGAGAAAGCAGCAGCTGTAGGTAACACCAAACAGCTTTTCAGACTAATAAAGGAAACAGAGACTAATAAGTCAACTGTCAATCTCAGGAAAAGACGGCACTCATCTGCTCTCAGTTCAAAGGTTTAGGATAATGAGCGGAACAATTCAAGGAGCAGTTCAGCTACTCACCATTCCCAAACAGCTTGAATGGGACATTGAAATAGGCCCACCGACTCTAATTGAAGTTCAAAAAGCCATGGCTAATCTGAAGCGATGAAAAATGGTTAGTAAGAAGTCATTAGACTTCAGAGGTTGATTAATGATGTCTCCAAAATTCACAGAGAAAATTCCGAGTGATCTAAATTTCACTCAGGTCATTCAGACTTTTTCCGAACTTATAAATTATGAAAGACATCCATCTGATCTAAAAAACGGTTTAACAGACTAAAACTGAGAAATATGTCGTTCATTATATTACGATCACCTACACTACACTATAAATATTACACAAGTTCAAAAGTTCACGAAAATTTACAAATTTGAACGAGTGTGTTGGTAATTTTGTCGGATGGCGGTAAGACCTTTGTATTTCTTACGTCCGAAATAGCGAACTTGGCATGAATCTGCAGTAAAAACTCAAGAATTTTCGAAGGAGTAATTTCAATTATATATTCCAAGAAAATATATAACTTGTAGTCAATGATTTATGTATAGTATTATATACTCACAATTTGTCACACATCATCATAATCATCTCGCAATCCATTATAATCCTCAATTCGTTTACGAATTTTCGATCGAGATCCCCAAGTTATATAGTCTTCCATAGATCTGCCGGCAAATTTAGAAATAAAAACGGACTAACATGTTAGCCACACGATTTAATGCTTAAGATTCGTCAGTAATGACTACAGCAATAATGTGGTTTGATACATGAAATAATAGGTCTTTTTTCTCATGACCAAATGCGTGGTACAACAGGGCACCCAAAAACAATTCATAGGGAATAAGATGACAATACTAATGGACTAATAAGAGAGAAAAATTATAAAAATCTATGGTCCATGTAGAGACCACAACCCATACAAATTTCATTCAGCTAAATGTATTATGTTGTTTAAGGTATAGAGTAGAAAACTAACAGTATCGTAATCAGTTCTTATTACAAATACAATTCAAATAGTTAATCATAGGCATAACAGTTGGCTGGAAGAAAGCTAAGGGTAGCCAGACCAAGACATGTTATAAGTTCATAAGGCCACTGAATTTTAGATTGAGCCTTTTTCTGAAAATGTAGACCACCTGTCTGGGGTCCAAGTGATCATTGTGACTAGTGGCTGGTGACTTAACTCAGAACTGACAGCAACGTCGTCGAGTTTATACTACGTCTTTCTCCTAGATTGAGTCCTCAAACTATTTTAAACCTTTCGTTCTGCAAAGCCATTCATTTTTCGCGAATTATATTCTCTATATCTATTTTTTCCCACCGTCACTACTGCTACATTTACTAATTTAGTACTCATCTTATTATGCATATGTGTGGCAACTTGAACAGATATGTGCCAGTTTCTGTGTTGCTTACGACTGACTGAATCTTCAATCATACAGTTAATGTTAGATATATTGAAAAAATATATTCATATGTATTCGCTTAACCGAAGTTCATAACCAGGAAAATTTTCATATATCTTGTCGCAAGCTGCAGCCTGTTTGCAGATAATCTCTGTGAATCTTTCGAAATAATACAAGACAGGTACAAAGAATCTCTGAGACAGTTTTTTGCATCTCAAAAACAACAGTTTACTCTTGAACTTAACGTAAGATAAAAGGTTTAGATCATTAACAAACCTTGTAACCAGATATGCTGGGTCTCGTATGATATCTGGGCCCACACGAACATGTCCTTGCTCAACAAACGTCACAGCTGCTTTCATTGTTTCTGCCATTTTTGAACGCATTACAATAACTGGAAGCCGTCTTCGACAAAATGAAGAGGCATTGACTTTCGACGCTAACATAAGACTTCTTCTTGTTGGTATCAAACCTAAGTTGTGTCTTTATAATTATTACACTCAAAAATGATAACATACAACTTTGCTGTCAGTAGTTCAGTCATTTCTGCCCTCCAAGGATCGTTTTCATCGATATTCTTAAGTTTTTCTGCAATTTCTCTGATTTTTCGAGAGAGTTTATTGTAACTATGACAAAAGAATAAAGGATACTTTTAAAAATAGAATCTACCTGACACATTTACTAATATATGATTATCATCACTTCATATTCTAAAATAATCCGAAATTGTATGCCATCCAGCTCAGAGAAACCATAATCTTCAAGACTGTCACCTTGAGATGCGAATGTTCTCCACCATCTCATTACCAGTCAATAGAGAGAATTTTATTAGGATCGCAGATGTTACGTGAATTAGCTGTATCATTCGGATAACACGATTGAGAAACTGAATTTGGAGAACATATTTAAGTCAGCGTAATGTGATCGTCATAGTTTTAAGCGGTAGTTATATCCAAAAAACTAGAATAAGACATCTAAGCTCTTGCCGGAAAGTTGAAGGATCTTCATTTACAAGAATGATGATGCCTCATGCTGAAAACCGAGATTCTTCGAAGGTAACGAAGCCGAAGTCCTTTCTAACAACCAGAGCAACAGTTTTTATAGGTACACAGAATGTCCGGATAGTATGGGAGACCGGTAGGAACAATCGAGTAACTGTGAAAATAAGGAGATACAACTTGGTGATTCTCGGACTATTTATTTTATTTATTTAAACACATAAACACCGGTACAATGAGGCACCAAATAGATATGCGTCACATAAGTCATTCGATTTGTGCAAGGGCTGGGATACTGCCCAAACCGAAGTGGGTGGATTGCTTAGGGAGCCACATCCAGAGCCTTCAACCTGAAGGTCTGATCCACAAGGCAGTAGAGCAAAGTCAGCAGATGTAGTCCCATGGTAGCCGGTGATCAACAATAGGTTCACACGCCATTTGTTCCTTCAGGATATTGGAGCCCATGTGCACCGATGGTTTGATATCAGGGTTTTCCAACTTCATTGGTGGACTCTCCGTGTCCAACAACCCGGTTAAAGCGCCGGACTCAAGCTAGACAGGAAAGATTAGATTCACGAGATGTTGTTCTACTCTGACAATGATCAAGAAAATGCTCCGCACACACAGGGAGTCGCTTTGATGCTGTCCAAAGAAGTACAAAAAGCACTTATAGGACAGGTATCCTATGGATCCAAAATCCTTAAAGTACCTTTCAAAACAAATAAGGAGGAGATAACAATTAATATTACTCACTGATATGCGCCCAACAATGATAGCAATGAGGACGATAAAGATCAGTCTTGTGAGAGGCTGCAATCGATCATGGTGAAGTGCTCAGGACCTAACCATCCTGATGGGAGACCGGAACGCCAAAATAGGAATGAACAACACCAGGTATAGAGATATATATAACATGAACTGAATGGGGAAAGGAACGAAAATGGTGACAGGTTTGCAAATTTATGTGCATTCAACTAAGTAGCTATAGGCGGCACAATATTCCCACACGAAAGCATACGCAAAACTAGGTGGATCTCACCGGATCACGCTATAGAGAACCAGATCGACCATATCTTCATCACTAAAAAAATGCAGGTCAGTGGAAGGCGTGAGAAACAAGAGAAGAACTGACGTAGCTCCAGGTCACCACCTGGTGGTTGCCAAGATGAAACTAAAGCTGTAAAAGAACTGGACAACTAGGAAAACAACATTACATTCGTTGGAAGCCGTAAGGCTGATTCCTCCTCTGGCAGAAAGGAAAACAACAAACATAGGCACAATGAATGTCCGTCCAATTCGGGAGACCGGGAGGGTCATTCAAATAACCGCAGAAATGGAAAGATATAACATGAGATATGCTTGGAATAACTGAGACCCATTGGAAAAGATTTAGATAGGGAAAAATAGCTTCGGAAGAAATAATATTGATCATGAAGATGAAAAAACCCTACACGCTGTTCTCCAAAGAACTTATCAGATTAAAAACTTGTAACTTCAAGATTACTGAAGCACCCTTTAAAGGAAAGAGGTTATAATGGATATCGTACATGGTTACACACTCACCAATCATGAAAGTGAAGTTAATAAATGCCAGTTTTATGACAGGCTAACCTATCCTAGGGAAAACCCAGGAAAATACTTGATAATTCTGACGGGGGAACTAAACGCCAAAGTCGGGATAGGAAACGCCGGGTATGGACCCATCATCGGGCGACATGGATAGTGAGAAAGAAACGAGAATGCTGAGAGGTTGGTATATTCACTTGGCTTTTACAGCATAGTTATAAGTGGTAGCACTTCCCGACAAATACATACACAGAGCTGCTTGAGTTTCGCTAGACCATATCGACCATATGTGTATAAGTAAAAACTTCAGATCCATCGAAGATGTAGGAACAAAGGGAGGAGTTGATGGAGTTTCAGATCATTATCTGATGGTAGCCAAGCTAAAACTAAAGATGCAATAAACAGTTGGAGAATCAGTGTTACAAAAGTTTGATATGGCCTTTCTTTGAATTACTAACAAGTTCGACGAGTTCTAGATAGGTCCCATCAACCAGTTCGAAGCCTTATAATATCTACTTTAAGAGGGAAATACTGAAAAACACTAGAAAGGGATTAAGGAAGCAATAACTTTGACGTACCAAACGCTGAGTCCCAAGAAGTACCAGAATAAAGGATGGGTCTATGTAGACAGCCTGGAAAGGATTCAAGAAAACGAAAACACGAAGATAGAAATCAAAGCTAGCAAAACAAGACAGGTTGAATATACAGAAGCAAACAGGAGTGAAGAAGAGTATCAAAGCTGAGTCGGAAGTATGTTGAAGAACTGGTAAATACAGAAAAAAGATGCAAGGGAAGGAAATATGAAAGGACCGTATGATACAACCAATAAGCTAGCAGGAATATATGGTAGACCAGAGCAAGAAGTCAAGAGAAAAAGAGGGAAAACAACAGTTGAAGTTCATGAGCAACAGGACAGGTCGCCACAGCATTTGAAGAGCTCTTGAATAGACCAGCACAGCTAAACCGACCAGAAGTTGAGGCAGCACACATAGATAGTACTACACTAACAATATAAAAATTTAGCACGGCCATTAGACAAATCAAGAATCAGAAAGTAGTAGGACCAGACAACACACTAGTTTAGGTGTTGAAGTTAGATATTGAGGTATCAGTAAAGATGCCCCATGTTCTCTTCAGAAAGACTTGGAAGGAGCGAGTACCAATGGACTAGAGGGAGGGATGTCTCATCAAGACATCCTAGTAAGTGTGAGAACTACGGAGCTATCACGCTACTGTCAGTACCAGGCAAAGTTTTCAACAGCGTTGCTGAACCAAATGAAAGATCCGGTAGACGCGCAATCTCGAGATCAACGGGCTGGATCAACCATGTGCCGGACGAATCGCGACATGGGGGGCCGTTGTTTAAAACTCAACTGAACGGAACCCACTGCTTTATGTAAACTTCCTTTACTATGAAAAAATCCGACAACATAGATAGGAAGACCTTGTATAATTTTCTTCAACATTATGGAGTGAGTGAAAAGATTACCAGCACCATACGGAATTTTTACCAAGGACTACAATTCAAAGTCGAGCATGGACGATAGCTTACAGATCCAAATAAAAAATGGTGTCTAAGAAAAATGTCTTCTTTCATCTTTTCTTTTTCTACTAGCTGTTGACTAGATCATGAAAATCACACCTCAGGAAAAGCACGGAATACAGTAGATGCCTTAGACACAGTTGGATGACTTGGACAGCACTACCATTGCATACAAAACAACAAATACAAAAGCTAGCCAGCATATTAGCTATTTCGGCAATAATTGGTTTCAACATCCATAGGGGAAGAAACAAGGTCCTGGAATACAACACAGCGAGCCCCAGTCAATTCCCACTTGGTGGGAGAGCTCTGGAAGAAAAGGAACTCTAGGTATTTAGAAGGCACCATCGATACACGGGGAGGATCTGATCAAATATCAAGGCACGAATCGGCAAAGCGAAGGAGACTTTCGTACGACTGAAGAATATCTGAAATCCGAAACAACCGTCATAGAACCCCAAAATTAGAATCTTCAACATCAATGTTAAAAGTTCTACTATATGGGGTTAAAACGCAGAGGAATAGCACCATCATCATCAGAAAATGTACAGACATTAATAATCAGGTGACTGTATAAGATACTTCAAATACACTGGCCAGACACTATCAGGAATAACTGAGTCATGGAATAAACTGGCTGAGGAAGAAATTAGGAAAAAGACGCTGGATGTAGGTGAGGCACATTATAAACAAACCAATAAATTGTACCACAAAGCAAGGCCAGACTTGGAGTCCTCAAGACAAAAGAGAAAGAGGTAGATCAGGAAGTGCCCTCTCCCAGAAATTAGCAGTAAGCATCAAGAATAAAAACACGACTAGGCGACAACTGTTAAGGAAATCAGGACAGAACCACTTGAAGATCCCTGGTAGGCAGTCTATGCCCCAAGAGGAGCACCAAACTTAAGTAAGTGAACATATTGGACCTTATGTCTGGTGTTGAGATATGACATTCGACAGTTTAATTAGACTAATGACTAAAGCTAGAATTCCGTATATTTATAAAACAGATGAATCGCAGACAAAATTGTCAAGATATAGTTAGGTACAAGAGAAACATCCACTATGGATGACAACTATCATTCGTTGCGAACTTAGTACCACAGAAAACCAGAAAAACACCGTAGCTTTTGATAATTCACTCGCTCATGTACCACTTCATTGTGAACCTACTAAATAATAATAGGATATATTGAGATAAAAGACGTACTTAGTATTACAATTACTACAACATATTCCCTTCATCTGGTTGTTATTAATAACCACCCAGTTGTTAATGGTGATAAATATAACTCAAGTAAGCCTCAGTTTATGCAATGTACTGTATTTACTTAGTATGGCAAAATCGTTCCTCCACCGGTATTAACTTACAATAATAACCTGGCAATCATCAACATTGTATCCACGGTGACAGAAATCTTCACATCATATCAGGGGGACAATAACTTCAAGTAAGATTAAATAAAAAATAACGAAAGGGGTTTGAATTTAGCTGTATGAAGTTAATCAGACCAGGGAGGTGAGGTCGAGAACGAAATAGAGATGAAGCCTTTGTTGTGGCTAAGGTAACTATGTAGATCTAGTGAATGTGTGACGTACTAAAGTAACTGAAAAGCAACAAACCGACACTATGAAATAATTGGAAACTTTTTAATCCAGCAGTCAATTTCAAGATGTATAGAGCCGGGAATGAGGAGCTTAATCAATAATTATGCCTGTTGACATTAAGCAGTAGTGCTGAATATAAGGAAGTTTTTTAACCGGCAACGTATCAGGACACCGAAACATCCACTATTTTAGACGAAAGTCACTCAGTACCACGACCGGTTTCTTGTTTTACAAGGAGCATCGATCCAGTGAGTTGTGATTACGAATTTTGTCGTATCGTAGGATACGAGGTGACCTTATACTGACATTTCGTATCTTTAATTATGATTTGGGTGTTAATATGTCTTATCTTCTTGCCCCCTCCAGCACTAATAATCTCCGAGGTCATAGCAAGAAGGTTCATAAATCACGATCTAATAAACTTAGAGTGGGCTCCCGTTTTTCTCATCGAGTAGTCAATGATTGGAACGCCTTACCCAAACAAGTGGTATCAACCCCATCAGTGAATACTTTCAAGGAGAAGCTGGACCTTCATCGGAAAGCAATGTGTCAGGATTAATACAGGTTTACCAACCTACTATCCCTATTACTGAAGACTGAAGAGTTAACCTAATATACCTCTTGTCCAAATCCTTCACTTCGTAAACGATACAATGATCTTCGAATAAAGATGTTTGTTAAGAAGCAACGATTGCGAACCAAGAAGTCGAAATAACGAGTCATATGTCAACTGCCAATACTTGTTTTCTTTAAGTTTGTACATATCAAGTCGACATTAACGTTGAGAAAATCAATCAAAGCTTACAGTGTGTAGTCTTCGCGTTTTTGCACGTGAAACAGTCGCATAATTTTAACTTCATGTAAGTTATTGTCACATTCCCAGTTAATAAAGTCGACCTTCTTTAGTAATTTTCGTTCGTGATACTTTAATTTGCGGACCATTGCAACGCTACCGTTTGAACTTTAGCGTTCATACAATATCCAATACCTGATGGCTCGTATAAATGGGATGTTTTGTTGTTTCAAGACGGTCCTGGGTCTTTGAAAATGTCCAAAGGATATCTATCCAGCCACTCGGCTGTGCTATTCTTAGTCAGTTTGTTATTTATTTGTGAGTTTGCATATTAGTCTCAGTTTCGCTTCGGTGAGGATAAAAAGTTTGATTCAGTCTTCAGTCTTCAGTAATAAGGATAGTAGGTTGATGAACCTATGTTAATCCTGACACATTGCTTTCCAGTGAAGGTCCAGCTTCTCCTTGAAAGTATTCATTGATGGGGCTGATACCACTTGTTCGGGTAAGGCGTTCCAATCATTGACTACTCGATGAGAAAAACGGGAGCCCACTCTAAGTTCATTAGATCGTGGTTTATGAACCTTCTTGCTATGACCTCGGAGATTAATAGTGCTGGAGGGAGCAAAAAGATAAGACATATTAACACCCAAATCATAATTAAAGATACGAAATGTCAGTATAAGGTCACCTCGTGTCCTACGATACGACGAGGGGAAAAGATTTAGGCGTTTTGAACGCTCATCGTAAGGGAGTCTGGAAAGACCATTCACTAATTTCGTTCCCACACGCTGGACACGCTCAAGGGAGTTAGTATCCTTTACCAGACACGGGCTAGCTGCTTGGATACAGTACTCTAAATGTGGTCTAACATATATGGGATATAAAATTCTAAACATTTTCTCGTCAAAAGATTTGAACGCTCGGCGAAGTGGCCATAACGCACGAAAACCTTTGACAGCGGCTGCTTTGCAATGCTTAGTTGTGTTTTAAATCATGACTTAATATTACTCTTAAGCCTTTATGCTCTTGAACGCATGGAAGAGGTTTACCCTCAATAGTGTAACGGTAACTATTACCGTGACCGATGTGCATTAGTACACACTTCTCTGTTAATCCTGGCCATATGAGTTTCTCAGTTAATCCAACCTCCTTTTGAATGCATTGATAAATGTAGTTTTAATCACATCTTGACGTAGCGATTTCCATCTGTTGATGATTCTATGAGAAAATCGATAGTCATGTTGCGGTAAATAAATCCTCAAAATAAATAGCTCTGTACAATTTCAACATTGAATGCTGACCACATTATTTTAATGGACTCACCTAGCTGAAGGCGCTTGGTCATGTATCCGCACCAGATCACGGGAGGTAACGACGTGATTAAAAATCCCTACAATCGCTAGCCAGATTAGAACAGACGAACCTTGATATATTGATAGCCTAACAAAAATATCTTCGAAACTAAACGCAACAGAATTTGACATCACTTGGTGTGAAGGCTTCAAACAAAATAGTGTTACAGCGCAAACCTTTGTCAAAATCTAAATAATAATGGCATATTCATTGGTGAGCCCAAAGTGATCAGGTACACCAAATTGCTGAAGCGAGTGTGTGAATAGAATATTGTCGACATACTGCAAGTGGAGCGGCTAATCAATATGTCATCGAATATTTTGCTTACATTTTGTGCTTGCCTGTCGATGTAGGCACATGACGGATGCTAGTGTCAGTGGTCGGGAAGTGTTTGTTGGTGTTGATCTAGTTAGTGTTGATGAGTGTTGTGTAGATTGGTGTGTGTAGATGTGAAAACTCTCCCGCGCCGCCTGGGTGAAAGCCAGGAATCCTAACCGCTAGACCACGCGGGACAACCTACTGTCCAACAGAACAACACACATCATCCATTCACAACTACTAACATGCACATACACCATATGTCCACATACTACTACAGTCTATATCAACATCACCAACACATACGCAACAACATTCATCACACAAGCATCGAAAACGCACTATTCCAGCATACTCATCACCAATTCAAATAACAACATCCCCAACAACGACATTGTCGTCATCATCATCAATATGATGAGCAACAGCAGCAACGGAGAAGTCACAGATACTGATCTACCGACTAATAAATTGTCGGGAAAACGTAGTTGTTGGGACCAACATCACGCTTCCACATATTTCTCTCCACCTACTTCCACAGACTACAAGGCCACACATGTTTGTTCGTCTGTGTGTGTGTGTGTGAATGATTGATTGATTGATTGATTGATTGATTGATTGATTGAGTGATTGAGTGAGTGAGTGATTGCATGCATGTATGCCTGTGTGTATGTGTGTGTGTGTCTGCTTGCGCTTGTGTATGTGGTGTGTTCACGTGAATGTCAATAAGAATCCACACATTCAATCATAATACACTTCCATCGAATTCAATGTGGACATGCAACAATCAACCTGGTTCATTAGACATCATGATTTAGAGTCTGCCACCAGGTGAATGTGCTGACCACTAAGACAGACTACGACAGAGAGAACTAAATGGAAGGAGAATGAATGACTGAATGTGAGTGAAGGTGTGATGGAGGGGAATGTGGAATGCTACACGGAGCCCAAGGGAAAACACGAGATTGGATTGAGCACACTCGTCCGATGTGCGTGTATTGTAGGGATCAGACGTTGCGATTGGTTGATAATGAGACACCAGATTGATTGATGAATCCAATTATTTCGTGTTCTTTAAATGCCTTACTCTTTGTCTCCTTTTAATGTTAAATAATTCCTGAAAATTTATCGTTTGTTAATCTTTTGTACATTGGGTTTTTGACCACATTTTTTTTAATTGATTCACCTTGCTGATGGCGCTTGATCACGCTTTCTTATCAAGTCACGTGTTGTACCGCCCTGCTCTTCAACCACTGCAATCGCTAAGGAGTTTAGATCAGGCGATTCTCGATATATTAACAGTCTATCAAATATATCTTCCAACTTCTTCGCTCCTCTCTTTTGATTTCTTTTGGTTGGTACGCTTCATACTAAAAGGTGTTATTGGTTAAAGCGTTGTCAAACTCCAAATACTTGTTGCATCTTCATTGGTGAGCCTAACGTAATCTGGTACACCAAATTGTAAACTGTGAGTTTGTTCATTTTTGGGATTTTGTATAACATTGCTGTATCTTAATTTTGTATACATTGTGATATTTTTCCGTGTTTTTCTCTCTCTCTCTCCCTCTATATATATATATATATATATATATATATATATATATATATATATATATATATATATATATATTTCCCTCATTAATTCTCGTACTTCATATTTCACCATGACTGAACATACACCGAAAGTACTTAATCTTTAAACTTTGTACCCACTTTCGTTCCAACTGATGGCTTTCCGGCCAGACAACATCGAAGCCTGGTTTTGCTAAGCAGAAGCCGATTTATCCTAGCACGGCTTGAACGACACACATGTACAATTCCTCGCAGTAGTCAAGGCAATACCGCGCGAATTCAACAGGTACGTAATACCTAGTATGTTTACTAGTGATGTTTCCGAACCTTACGAAACACCGAAACGTTCCATTCTTAAACACGGAGACCTAACAGATAGACAAAGGTTAGACCAACTCCTCAATAACGTCAACCTGCAACACGGTTCTGAGACGGACATGTTACAACAAATGAGAGAGGTTATCGGCCAAAGAACCTTCGATGATGGCCTGTTCAAACAACTATTCTTGTCCAAATTTCTTCAACAAGTGCAAGCTGTGCTTGTCCCGACAGGTTACGGTATCATACTCAGTAAGAATATAATTCCACCAATAGCAGAAAACTGCAATTTTCCCAAAATAAATATGTGGAGGCGTGATGTTGTTCCCAACAACTACGTTTTCCCGACAATTTATTAGTCGGTAGATCAGTATCTGTGACTTCTCCGTCCAGATGGTGTTGTTGTTGTTGTTGTTGGTGGTGGTGGTGGTGATTGTGTTGCTGCTGTTGCTCATCATATTGATGATGATGACGACAATGTCGTTGTTGGGGATGTTGTTATTTGAATTGGTGATGAGTATGCTGGAATAGTGCGTTTTCGATGCTTGTGTGATGAATGTTGTTGCGTATGTGTTGGTGATGTTGATATAGACTGTAGTAGTATGTGGACATATGGTGTATGTGCATGTTAGTAGTTGTGAATGGATGATGTGTGTTGTTCTGTTGGACAGTAGGTTGTCCCGCGTGGTCTAGCGGTTAGGATTCCTGGCTTTCACCCAGGCGGCCCGGGTTCGACTCCCGGCGCGGGAGAGTTTTCACATCTACACACACCAATCTACACAACACTCATCAACACTAACTAGATCAACACCAACAAACACTTCCCGACCACTGACACTAGCATCCGTCATGTGCCTACATCGACAGGCAAGCACAAAATGTAAGCAAAATATTCGATGACATATTGATTAGCCGCTCCACTTGCAGTATGTCGACAATATTCTATTCACACACTCGCTTCAGCACGTATCAAGAAACAGACAATCTGTCATGGGAATTCACACTGAAACTTCGAACAATTCAATTCTCCTCGATTCGTGAAAGTGGAGAAGGTGAGGTAAGACACAGTGAGCCATTGCAAAGCATACGAACAAATTGGATTCATCAATCAATCTGGTGTCTCATTATCAACCAATCGCAACGTCTGATCCCTACAATACACGCACATCGGACGAGTGTGCTCAATCCAATCTCGTGTTTTCCCTTGGGCTCCGTGTAGCATTCCACATTCCCCTCCATCACACCTTCACTCACATTCAGTCATTCATTCTCCTTCCATTTAGTTCTCTCTGTCGTAGTCTGTCTTAGTGGTCAGCACATTCACCTGGTGGCAGACTCTAAATCATGATGTCTAATGAACCAGGTTGATTGTTGCATGTCCACATTGAATTCGATGGAAGTGTATTATGATTGAATGTGTGGATTCTTACTGACATTCACGTGAACACACCACATACACAAGCGCAAGCAGACACACACACACACATACACACAGGCATACATGCATGCAATCACTCACTCACTCACTCAATCAATCAATCAATCAATCATTCACACACACACACAGACGAACAAACATGTGTGGCCTTGTAGTCTGTGGAAGTAGGTGGAGAGAAATATGTGGAAGCG